GTGTTAAATCTCCACAAAATTTAACATGTGTCAGAAGACTTTTTTTTTTCTAAACAGATTAATAAATGTGGATTTATTTTATTTTTACAAATACATTTTCTGTGATAAGTTTCTTTCTGCAGCTGAGAAGAGTAATCTTCCTATGTATTGAACTAGATACTCTACCACTTCTTCTAATTCCTATCTGTTCACTGTCTTCATACCAGCAATTACAGTGGTTATAGTGTTAAGGGAGGTGTAATTAATTGGAGATGGAGTTGAATGTTAAGACATACAGAACTTGCATGATGAATGGATTTTGGTATCCTGGGATGACTTAGCTAAGAGGACAGTATATGGTTGTCCACATACCACACACACAAAAAAGGCAAAACTCTTATCCCCTTATGGAAAAGAAGTATTTAAAAAAGTACAAATGAAAAGCTCTGCTTATTGAAGGTTAATTCAGCTGTTCTTTGACCTCTCAATGAGCATATACAGTGCAAACTTTTTTCTTATTTTAATTTTCTATTTCCTTAATGCTTATACTCTTATGTGTATTGCGAGAAACTGTTTGCATGCCTGTGTTTTTGTATCTTTGTGTGACATTTTTATGTACTCTTGGATTGCCAGATCCAAGAGTTTATTCATTTGTTGATATCTTTAGAGAAAATAATTTGAATAGCACCTCCTGTGTAAGATAAGGCTATGTTTTAAAACTAAAAAAAAAAAAAAAGTAAGTTACCCTGCATGTTATATTATGTTGGAAAAAGCTGTTGAAACAGTTTATGTATATTTAAGTGTTGAAATAAAACCATTTCATATTTCACTTTGAGACACCTCATGTTTCACAGATGATAGCTTTTTTTTCAAGTCCTTTATTCATCCATTGAATCCATTGATTTCTCTGTATTTTATCCTGAGAATCTGTTTTAATTGATTCATAAAAGACAAGCTATGCCTGCTTTTTGGTTTGCATACGCTGGGATTGCATTGTATCCTTTTCTTGCCTTGTGAAGTCTGAATGCTGGTGTGTTAAACAGTTGTATATTTAAGTCAATTTAGTAAATAAAATTTTACTGCAGTTGGTTTAAGACTTTATTATCCCCTTTATGAGAATGCAATGTTTCTACTCACAAAAGCAGGCAGCATCTTATGAACCCTGTATGCAGGGTGAAGGGTGCAGGTGGAACAGGGAGGATAAGGCGATTATACTGTGTATGCCTGGTTGAGCACAACTTGCACTGAAAAGTTGTTTTGTTTTTTTCTAATTGAATAGTACTGTAGTTTGTTAAGTTGTTAAAACATGCTTTACTAACAGAGGAAAAAATCCTATCAACAACTTTTTTGCATTATTTTTTCATGTCTCTTCTGAGCACTTTACAGCAGAAGAGAAATTTCTTTCAGACTGCTGTGTGTTACTGTGGAGAATAGCATGGAAGCTGGTAGTCGGGATACTTTGATTTGGTTCTCAGTAATTTTCAAAAGTCTTTTAGTTACTACCTCTGTTACATTTAAATGGGATTGAATACTTTGTATTAAATAGTTGAATAGACAGGAAGTGTATCAAGAGAAATAGTTGTATAGGTAGGGTGTGTCACATAATAAAGATGGTATTTAAAACATAACAAACAAAAGTAACATGTTTTTGTGTCATTGGTATGCTCAATAATCTTGAAGTGAATTTGACACAATATTTGACACTTATGTAATGGGTAGTGAAATAACCACAGATGTCCTTAAATCAGAATTTAATTCAAAAGGTCTTTACTTACGTTTCAGTCAAATTATGCGGGATTGAAGAGGCTCGCACACTCTTAAGAAGAGTAATGCCTGAGCTCTGTAAGTTAATCATATTAGCAGTCCTCAAAGGACAAAATCTTCTTGCTATCACAAAGTATTGAAGGTTTCCTGTTAGTGGTATGGCACTATGCTTGGATTGATCTAATGGTCAGTTCCCCTTATCAGCCTTAGTACATCTGTTCTCACTGTTCCATGTACATCCTCAGGAGTCAACTGAGTTTGTGAGTTTCTTATATTGGTCCTTGCAGAATTGTCTAAGCAGGAGGGGCAGCTCGAAGGAATTCAGGACTGCTATTTTCAGTAGTAGTCTTCTATTATTTTGAAGTAAATATTTTTCTGGGCATAATTATACCCAGAAGATATTTCATTGCATATAATTAGCAATAAATTTTCACGTTACTATTGATAACATTTTCTTTAGATAATTCATGAAGTCAATTAATACGAATTTGTTCCTACTCACAATTCCCCTTTTATACAGTGATAAGCATTAAACAAGAATTTGATAAGGTGTTTTATGATCTGGCATTTTGAAGTGGAATAATATCTGTCCATTTCTTTAACTGGTTTTCCAATAGTCCTTCTGCACTCTTAAAAACCCAACAAACAAAAAAAACCAAACAACAACAGCTGAATAGTGATAGTTAAATACATTTAACTTGCCAAGTTAAACTTCACCTTCGCATTTCATTATATTAGATAACATGTCTGCATTTACATGTTTTTACTTTAACTTCTAGTTTGTTATTTTACCTTTAATTTAACCCAGTAAAGTAACAAGGTTTTGATGGAAAGGAGAAAGCAATGTAATTTTCTAAATATCTTCTTCATAGCCTTGAATCAAGAATCTTGTGTATGATCCTGCAATCTTACACTTAGAAGTCTATCAAGTTACTCTTCTAAACTAAATTTGATTTTTGTAATTTTGACTTACTTTCTACCACTTTGTTTTCAATATTTTAAATAAACAGGATTTTTTTAAATCCCATTTTCTGCTTATAGTTCACCTGTGGAAGGAAAATAAACTCACCAAACACCTCCCCCCCAAAACAAACAAAAAAACCAGCAACCACAAACCAAACCATACACCCATCTCCAAAATCCCCAAACAACCAAAAATCAAAACAACCCATCTTTAAATTACATCACTGAAGCACTGCTAGTACTGTTTGAATTGGTGCCTGCTGCTTGTTGCAACTGGAGAAATAATATTCTAATTTTTGGTAATACAGAGAAAAAAGTTGAAGAATAGACCTAGGGTAAAGATGCCCAGGTCTTTGGCCTGCTGTTGTGCAGAATTCACATTATCTGATGAAGTTGCTTAAGCCAGTTGCTGAAAGAAGCACTTATTAAACTGTACCTTGTGCCACTATGTGTTCGTATCTGAGTAAATCAAAATAAAATGCTTTTTTGTCAGAGAAAGTTGTTGAGCCTGTCTAATGCTGGTTAAGCATTTCAGCAAGATCACATTCCATGTGTGTAATGATGAGGAACTTCAGCCAGTCCACTGATTTGACTTAAGTTAAAAAGATTGACTACAACTCTGTACTGGTTACGTGTAGTTTATCTGTGATATATACTTTAAAGGCAACATCACTTCTCAAAATAGAGTTTTAAGTACATACTTTAATGAACTTTGGCTATTTATTTTCTTATTTTTAGGCATGGTGCTTTTGTTCTTGATGATTATGGTTTTTTTACAAGCAGCATTTTTAACTTCCCTACTTACAAAAATTTTTTTACTTTTTTCTTTCATGTATAGTAATTACATAGTTCAAGTGTGGGTGGAAGGAATAGAAAAGGAGCTTCAAACAAATTGTTTGAATTGACTACATGGCACCATCCAATCTTGCTTACAAGTAACGAGCTATTATGATTGCTCCAACAGTAATAGTTAAAAAAAACCCTATCCTTTTTTTACTCAAGCTATCCTCTTTGCTTATTTGCATCCTATATGAATTTGATTTTTAGTATATATTTTTGTTAGTCTAATGCTATCAGAGGAAATGCATTATTTTTTAGATAAAGCAGGAGGTTTTATGTTCTGATAATTGCATCACTATAGCATAAATATAAACAATCTAAACAGGCATGTTAGTAATGGAAGAGGAAGTCATGTTTGTCTCCTTGTCTCCGGTTAGTGGTGAGGGTGAGCCAAAACCCAAAGAGGAGAAATTGCTCTCTATTACTCCTCTCCAACTCCCATGAGAAGATAAAAGAGGAATAAGGAAGAGAGACTTCACGGTTGGAATTTAAAAGTAGAACAGGTTTAATAGAACAGAGAAGGGATAGTAACACGTGGGGTATGGAACAAATGTACGAAAACCAATTTTTAATGATAGCTGGTACAAGGGCCCAAAAGTCCCTTGTGGCAGACCCAAGCCTGGAAAAGGGCTGAAGGGTCTTTGCAGCACCTGGTGGATTTGGATCCTGCAGAGCATACTGGGAGCTGATGACAAAGCAAGAGCATCTCTCCAAGACTGAGAGCAGTGAAGCAGGAAGCAGAAAGGGGTGGACTTCTTGCCCTCCCAGTATTTTATCAAGTATGGCAGGAGATGGGCTGGAATACTGATCCCAGGATCCCTTAGGGGCCTACATATCCTCTCACTAGGTCCTCATATTAATACCATAAAATAAGCCTGTGCCCCTTCAAACAGTAATGCTCCCTTTTATGATGAGCCAGCATATGTTTTTTTCACTCTTCCCCATATGCAAAGAACTGTTAAATAATATTTTTTTTTCCCTACTTATTTGCTATTTTGAAACAGATGCCCTGGAGAGAATCTGAACAGTATTTTTCCCAGTTGTTTTTTATTTTTAATAAAACCTCAAACATATTTCTGCTTTATTTATTTTAAATGCATATATGATACTAATTCATAAAATGGTGTGCAAATCACCGGTAGTCGAAGTTCAGGAATACTTAACTCTGGAAAGGGATTTCGTGTTATGCATAAGAAGAGAGCTTGAAGGAAGTGGGGGTGAGGGAAAGAAAACTGAAGTTTATTTTTTCTTCTGTGACTTAACTTCTGTTGATACTTGCATTGTTTTCCTTTCACTGGATTGTCTTATGTTGTCTTGGAATTGTAATCTCAAGTGTAAACAAGAAGGAATAAATTGTGTCCATCACAGGATAAAAATAAAGACCCCAATTCCAACTCTTAAGCATTTTGAAGAAGCAAAATAGGGCACAAGCCCAATTTTTTTTTGCTTTTCAGGTCTCCTTTAAGAGCAGAGACAACCATGATTCAGCAGTTTTGGAGGTAGAGGCAAGTAAATGTTTTACTTCTTGTAACCATTCCAGTAGGTTCTTGCAAATCACTTATAATTTGAGGAGACACTGGTTGAAAAAAATCTCAATCCCCCCCTTCCTAAGTGGTGGGTCTGCTTCGTATGCTCCGTGTGAGGAAACAATATTTGAGCTATATTTGTTTATTGATAGACTTCCCATCAGTTACAAGCTGTTGCATTACATAATTGGTTTGAAAATATACAAGTTTAATATTAGTAAGGTTTTTGTGATAAGTTGATGTAGTTTTTTCTTTTGAGTCTATGTTAAAAATGAAAATTGTATTGGATGGTTCATCGTAGTGTTTTGTTGTTTTTTTTAAAGTGGCTAATACTTGCTACTGCCAACTGCTGTTACTCAGATCAGCTGTTCAGCGTTCCCACTAAGGCAGTTCAACAACCTCTTACATACTGGGACTAAATCTGTCATTATTTCTATGCTTGGGACACTTCCAAAAACTCACATTCAGTTGTTTCTTGAAGTATCACGTGGTTTTAAATTAGTATTTTTACTATTTTTTGTAAGTGATATTGGAGGTAATGAAAGGAACCGTCCATCTGAATTGCTGATGTTTTAAAAACAGATCAGCCTTTGAAAGCTGCTGCTCATCAGGAAAACTGACTCCTTCAGGTATCTCAGGCTGCAGTTCCAGGGCTGCTCATAGGACAATTTAAGTCAAAGCTTTGTGTCCAGCACCATTCTGCACAGCCCTGGCTAGGTGTACTTTTCTCCCTTCCTTGTGACAGTTACTGGGGATTTAAATGACTGATGACCTGCTTCAGTGCTAAGCCATCTGAAAACTAAAACTGGAAATTCCTGTTGCTTTTGAGAACCATGGACTGGATCTCAAGCACTTTAGTATGTCAATGTGGAACTAGCAACACCAACTTAGAATACTTTAAACTGTTGTAAGACTACAAGCTTTAGGCAAAGTGCATTAGCTGTTCTTTAATTAGTTGAGCTGGATCACTGTGTCTTTTTTTTTTATATGCTGTGGAGATGATGCTTTTTACATCGTCAGGTGATAAATGCAGGGTCCCCAGCTGGCTTTTTAAAATACAAATTATGGAACATACAGGCTCGAGATACCTGTTCTCTCCACCCCTATTGAACTTTTTACTGTGCTTAATTTTCTTTTTTAAAGATACAGACATTTGAAACAGACCAGATTTTTTTTTGCGATGCGTGGTACTGGATGGGTGCTAACTGAGAACTTGGCAGCAAAGTTGTGAAGCTGTTTACTTGGGGTTTTGCTATTTGAAATATCAGAGCCGTTATTTGAGAAGTGCTCAGATTTTTCAGTGTTTTTGGTATATTTTTCCTGTTTAAAAGTAGTGTAGCTCATTTGTGACGTATCTGGGTGAATTTTTTAGTCAGAATACAGTGCAAAGACTAAAATATAATACCAAATACATAGAGATGTAGTTTTGTTGGCAGCCTACAATTGTAACACAGAGAATACTAATGACAATAGCGTGCTGACACTTAACTCTTACCACATTTCTTTGAATGCTTTGTGAATAACCTTTAAACCTATTCAGTTAGGAAACTAGTAATTATTCTTTTTGGAACTTCTTTTATTATAAAAAGAGGCAATTGGCAGAGTGACCTAGCAATACAGTATTACATGTATTTGGGACAGTTTTGCTCAACTTCTCTTTTGGGAGGTGGGGGAAAATGTGCTATTCCATGTTAGGGTTATAGTGGGGTCAAAAAAAGCGCTATATTTTGGTCAGCTAATGTGAACCTATAGTTCAGTGGGATTAAAAATGTTGCTAGTTAGTAAAATGTATTGACCCATATTAATGCCTGTGCTAATCTGAGAAGGAGGGGAAAAAGAAAGTATCCAGGTCAGGAAGTAGGAGGTCAGTACCTGTTGGTTGGCAGCAAGTCTTTTTCGTCTGTTGGAAATGCATTTAGAACAAAGGGGTTATGCTTGTGCTTTTCTGAAGAGTAAGAAACATTTAGAATGAAAGAAGCCAGCTTTTTTCTAGTTGACACTCTAGGATGTGAGTGGAGTCTGTAATTATTTTGGTCCTCGATTCACACACAGTGCTGTCTTATGTTCTAAGATGGACGGAATAATTGTAGAACATAAGACAGATATGCACATAACGACCTTTTCTCTCCAGCCTTACCATTGTACTTTGACTTTTGTTATTCAGAAGTGTATTAATTTAAAGTGTATAACTTTGGTTTTATTGTTGGGACAGATAAGTGTGCAATCTGAAATTGTATATAGTGAACATTTTAATAAAACAAATTTGGACTTGTCTTCTGAAGAGTAAAAGTAGTTAATTTTTTTAATAACTTTTTTTGCATTTTTCTGATAAAGTATGAAATGTATTAAAAATTACTCACTTCAAATGTCTTCAGACTTAGTTTAACCCATCAAGGATATACTTTGCTTCAGTAGTTTCATACTGTAATTACATTCTATTTGGTTCTTTTAGTCTGTCCAGTATTTATTAACAAGATTTTTCTCCTCATTAGTAACTTTGTTAAGCTGAGAGAAAATTCTAGATCTACCCATGCTTGTCTTTGGGCACTGTGTTGAAAAAGCAGAACTTGAAATTTTGCATAATCTTAATTTTTCATGTTAGGTTGACTTGTAGTAGGGCTCTGATAATTGGACTAACTGTAGTTTTTATTCAGTTTGCACACTCAGTTTTACTCAAAACCTTGCAAATGAAAATATCAGCAGATTCACTGTTTAATGAGATTTTTTAAAAATTACATTTCTTTAGTGAATATTTATTGTATTTTTTACTAAAATTCGTGGGATTCAAAAAGTTTATATAAACTGGATTTTTTTTGGAAGGATGATGTTGTCTCCTATATTAACAGTTGTTGGACTGCTAAATAAATGTGATCTTGATGGACTTGTATCTAGATATTCCCTCCTAAGACCAGTGTATGTGGATGCAATATAAATATTGTGATATTTTACTTTAAATTAAAACTATGACTACCTTTCTCTTTCTTTTGTGTTTATTGAATAAGCAAGTGGTTTGTGACATTCTATTGTAAAGTTTAAAAAGTGGTCATAAATAATTTTTTTCACAATTACTCCTTTACAGAAATGTTACTTCAGTAATTTCACTTCAAATTGCTTTTTCTCAGAATCCCAGAATGGTTTTGGTTGAAAGGGACCTTAAAGGTCATCTAGATCCAACTCCCCTGCATGGGCAGAGGTATCTCCCACTAGGCCAGGTTTCTCCAAGCCCCATCCAACCTGGCCTTGGATGCTTCCAGGAATGGGGCTTCCACATCTTCCCCAGGCAACCTGTTCCAGTGTCTCATCACTCTCATAGAGATCCCTCACTATGACCTATTCTTAATTTAATTTTGGCATAAGCTATGCTAATATTTTTGCTATTAAATATTTTCAGAGGGTTCTTATTTTAAATGCATTGCACACATTCTATATAAAAAACTGATGGTAGTGTATAGTATTTTACATTAACTGAAAATGTTTGGGTTTCAGGTCATTAGATGCAGAAAGCAAATGAGGAATTCCAAACTCTGACCTTAATGACAGATTTAGTAAAGGACCAGAGAGCTCTCTGTGAAAGCCACCAGAGAGTTCTGATGGGTTGTGAAGCTCGAATTCCTATGAATCATTGAAGGAGTAGTGCTAAAGGCAGCTGCCCACCGGCTTACTGATATTTTGGTGGTTGGTTTTGGTTGTGGTGTGTGTTGCTTTTTTTTTGTCACTGGATAGATCTCACCTGAGAGGTAGACAGAGATAACAATCCTGAAGGTCCATCATCTCTGTGCTGTAGAAGAGAATTTCCTAAGGTATTATCAGTGATATTCTTAAGAGCCGTCTAATAATGGTGCCAAGCTGTCACTCAGCTATACAGTCTTTAACTGGCATCACTATTTTACATTTTCATCTAGCCTTGCAAAGACATATGCCTGCCTCGTGCTGGATATCCCGCATTCTACAATCACTATAATAAATAGAGTTGTTACATGAAATTGGTCATAAAGAAGGTATGTAACAGTGGTCACACGATGAGTTCTCTAGGTGGTAACTTGTCTCTGTCAAATCCCATATAATTGTAACAAGGATTTGAGGCAACCGCTGCAATAAAACAATCTAATTACAGACTGTGTGCAAGGTTTCAGTCATAAATACATGGAAAGTTTGCATGTCGAAATAATTTGGAGCAGTAGTTCCAAATTCTTTCAAGGACTCAACTTCACTTTATTAGCTAATATTGTCAATTCTCCACTCAGTGACAAATTTGGGGAGTTTTCTGTATTCTCTGTAACAATTTTCTTTTCTTTTTAAGGTAGAAAGTAGTTTTATCTAATTTGCATTACTATGTTGCCTGTTACTTCCTGTCTTGAACTGTTGTCAGCATTATTTGTTTACAAATAAGTTGGTTTTGTAATTGTTGCAACTGAGTAGATATGGAAAGAACAGAACTGTTTCAGGAGGAGAGAGTAAAATTATTAAAAACCAAAGAAATAGAAATACATACTGCGTAATCACCATAAGATGACATTATAGTTTTAGAATGAACTTGCTGTTTTAATACCTTAGCAAAAAATAAGGTAATGCCATAAACTGTAAGGCTAGACTGTATGAATAAATGTGTTAAAATCTAACAGCCTTAGCAGTAATACTTGATAAAATAGTATGGAATTGCTACATTTTTTGTTCCACTCAGTACTGTACTGCTGATTGTGGGTCACCATTGAGGCAAAAGTTGACTAAATAATGGACAACATACTACACTATTATTAACGCACAGCTTAGAAGTATTACCATAGTATGAATCCAAAACAGACAACGCAAGGCCCACATAGACCATTAGTAATAAAAAAAAAGGGGGGGGAGCTGGTGGTGGTGGTAGTGGAATAGTGGAACCCCAAAACAAACCCTTAGAAAACCTGTATGAACAGAGGCTCAACCTGAATAAAAACATTGCCATCAATTGGTGAGATTTCTCGTTATGGAGCAAGTCA